AATTAAAATTTACCTTATTTATGGAAAAATGTGTGTATATATTTAAGATACGTAGAAGTGAATATATATTTATTTGATAAAATTTTGGCTACAAATATGTAGTGTATTCATATTTAAGTACATTCACTCTTATATATGCAATATATACATATTTATAAAATATTATCTGAATTATATACATTTAAATAATTGTTGTTACATTCCACAAAAAAAATAGTATTCTGGACAACATATAATTCATACTCTTGCTACAGAAAATTTCTTTGTGGCCTTTATTTTTAAAACTTTACCAAATCGTTGTCCTTACCTAAAATATTTTTCCAATCCAGTAGAGCTCCAAGGGTAAGACTAGAGAAAATTTTGACTAATGTTAAATATTAACCATTGCATCCTATGAAAGTCTCCATTATGTTCATGCTCACAATGATGATATGCCAAATAGAGTTCTCGCAACAATGGATGCTGGATGGAGTCACATCAGTGCCATTGTCAAGGAAGCCCTGGAAATGTAAAAATCATAACAGTGGGTAAACTGCAAGGATTACATTTGATGATTACATTGCCAAGAGAACAGCAATTTAATAATATTGGCTGTTGGTTTTCATAGATCATCAGGCCTTAAAAGAAAGGCAACAAGATGATTTCAGACAAAGTCATTTTGCAAGAGCTATGACTAGAAGTTTCAAAAAAAAAACCATAATGAAGAAAAAAAAAAAGCTTTCCAAGTGAATATTAATTGAAATGCCATTAATGAGCAGGGGCTTTTAACAATGAGGACGATTCAACACATGGACTTCAGTCAGTCACCTTTCCCAGCTTTCCCAGAGAGTCTCACGAACCAATGTCATGGGGGTCCCTGTGGGGACTCAATAATATGAGTTTCAACTAACTAAGATGTACAGTGCTACTGGGTCTTCTGAACAGCTAATTTGCCGAGAAAACTGACCCCTTCAGAACCCTTAACATTGTACCACACATCAGGGCCTGGTATCGGGTGATTCCAGTGGACCTCTTGTAACATGAGGAGGGCAGTGGTTATTTTACTATATATGAATTTGCCTTCCTTTTCAGTTATATTTCTGCATAAAATATTATTTGAGGATTTTCAAAGTGTTTTCATCAGAGTCAGAAAGTTCTTCCATAATATGGCTTTGGATCAAGCAACTTATTTAACTCAAAAAAGGTGAAGCAAAGGGTAGCTCATGCTCTTGTCATGTACACAGGTACAGCTTTCCCTATAGACAGGGAAAATACTATTATCAGTTGAGCAAAGCTCACACACAAACCCTAGTTCTATTGAATTGCTGTGCTGTCAGATGTGGTGGAGGCTCTGAAACACTTACTGTGTGAATGGTGCTTTTACTCTCATAAACAGAATATTTATATCTGGAAAATGAGCTGTAGACTCATCATTGTTATGTCAACTGAACAGCTTGAAATACTCGATTTCTGTTTTCTCAGGGCTGTGGTTTTCCGGTTCATGATTCTGAATCCAAAGAGTTGACATAGCAATTGTTTCATTAAATTGGAAGAAACAATATGATACACATGTGACCATTTAGACTTAATACAATACTGGATAAGTTGTCAACACAGGGCATTAGGGTGTGTGCTGCAGTCATAGATCTACCCCATATAAAGCAAGAGCAAATAGAATTGATGTTCCATATTTTAGAGAGGAAGTACAGAAAATGTGGACCCTAGGGGACCTTCCGGAATGTTTCTATTTATTGCCATTTCCACTGGTAAAACTCAGAGAAAATTTCAACAGTCATCAGGATGAAGTTCTAGGGATCACAGTCATATGAGGCATTCCCTGCACTTGGATCTCCAGTGAGGCAAAGGGAAGATGAAACGCATAGTGGGATATGGAGGTGCAAACAGCAGAGACAGCCTCCTGGTCAGCTGTCATAACATGAGTGAGACTAGGAGACAATGAGTGAGTGAGGGCGACATGAGTGAGACTGGGAGACAATTACGCTGCACGAAAGTCACCAGCTACGAAAGAACATATGCTGTATTCCATTTA